CCAGGAATTCCTGGGGTTAAATCCCGATTTTCCTGAGCTTTCCCAGGAATTCCTGTCCCCTCGCTGGGTGGATCGCGGCCAAGTTGCGCTCAGTTAATGAGCGGCGTTAATGAACGGCGTTAATTAACAGCGTTAATTAACGGTGCTCATTAGCGCCCCGGCACCCTGGGTGGCCCCGTGGCTCCAGCTGGGCCGGGGGAGTGGGAATGGGAACGGGAATGGGAATGGGAATGGGAATGGGAAATGGGAAATGGGAAATGGGAACGGGAACCGGGAACGGGAAACAGGAATGGGGAAATGGGAACGGGAATGGGAATGGGAATGGGAATGGGAATGGGAATGGGGAAATGGGAACGGGAATGGGAATGGGAAAAGGGAATGGGAATGGGAACGGGAATGGGAATGGGGAATGGGGAAATGGGAATGGGAATGGGAATGGGAATGGGGAATGGGGAAATGGGAATGGGAATGGGAATGGGAAAAGGGAATGGGAATGGGAACGGGAATGGGAATGGGGAATGGGGAAATGGGAATGGGAATGGGAATGGGAATGGGAATGGGGAAAGGGGAAATGGGAATGGGGAAAGGGGAAATGGGAATGGGAACCAGGAAATGGGAATGGGAATGGGAATGGGAATGGGAATGGGAATGGGAATGGGAATGGGAATGGGAAAAGGGAATGGGAACGGGAAAAGGGGAAATGGGAACGGGAACCGGGAAATGGGAAAAGGGGAAATGGGGAATGGGAATGGGAATGGGGAAAGGGGAAATGGGAATGGGGAACAGGGAAATGGGAATGGGAATGGGAATGGGAAAACGAGAAATGGGAATGGGAACCGGGAAAAGGGGAATGGGAATGGGGAAAGGGGAAATGGGAACGGGAACCGGGAACGGGACACAGGAATGGGGAAATGGGAACGGGAATGGGAACCGGGAAATGGGAAAAGGGAATGGGAAATGGGAATGGGAAAAAGAGAAATGGGAACGGGAAACGGGAATGGGAACTGGGAAAAGGGGAAATGGGAACCAGGAAGAGGGGAAATGGGAACAGGAAACAGGAATGGGAATGGGAACAGGGGAGCCAGGAATGAGAACAGAAACTGGGAAAAGGGGAATGGGAAATGGGAAAAGGGGAAATGGGAATGGGGAACGGGAAACGGGAATGAGGAATAGGAAAAGGGGAAATGGGAACTGGGAATGGGGAACGGGAACCGGGAATGGGAAATGGGAACTGGGAAAAGGGGAACAGGAAAAGGGAAAGGGGAACCGGGAATGGGAAATGGGAAAACGGGAATGGGAATGGAAAAAGGGGAAATGGGAACCAGGAATGGGGAATGGAGGTCGGGAATGGGAACGGGAAAAGGGGAACGGGGAAAAGGGGATTGGGAATGGGAACAGGAACCGGGAATTGGAATGGGAAAAGGGGAATGGGAAATGGGAACAGGAAAAGGGGAAATGGGAAAACGAGAATGGGAAATGGGAATGGGAACTGGGAAAAGGGGATTGGGAAAAGGGGAAATGGGAAAAGGGGATCAGGAAATGGGAAACAGGAAAGGGGGAAAGGGCGAGGAAAAAGGGAAATGGGAATAGGGAACAGGAAAAGGGAATGGAAAAAGGGGAAATGGAGAACAGGAACCAGGAATGGGGAAATGGGAAATGGGAAAAAAGGTGTCACCCTCCCCCAGTGCCACCCCCGGGTGCCTCCGGTCCCTAATTAGCCGGGGACATTCCCGGCATCGCTGCGGCCCCTAATGAGGCTCCGGCTCCGCTCGTAAAATCCCCCATTAAAATCCTCCCCCTTAAAATCCCCAGTAAAATCCTCCCTTAAATTCCCCCATTAAAAATTCCCCCTTAAAATCCCCATTAAAAATTCCCCCTTAAAATCCCCATTAAAAATTCCCCCTTAAAATCCCCATTAAAAATCCCCCGTTAAAAATTCCCCCTTAAAATCCCCAATAAAAATTCTCCCTTAAAATCCTCCCCCTTAAAAATCCCCCATTGAAAATCCCCCTAAAATTCCCCATTAAAATTCCCCCATTTGAAATCCCCTTTTAAAATCCCCTTTTACAGCCATGGGGCCGTGCCAGGACCCCAAATGTCCCCA